TAAATTGATTGAATTAATCGTATTTTTAAAAAAGGATGCCTGTGACAGTTTCTACCACGCATCTTTTGGTGGACTGAGTAGAAACAGAAAGTTAGCAGACTGATACACTGTGGTCTGCTGACTACAATGTAAGATGTTAATTTAATAAAATGATGGATCTTAAATTGTGGTAGAGACAGTGAGGGGAAACAGGTGAAAGAAGAATGCAGAAAATGGAAATCTGATAGCACCTTCAGATCTATAACAGTTAAATGAGATATGAAGAGTACCTACTAGGTTTGTGAGTCCTAGTCTATATACAAAGAAGTCAATAGTAGTGCCACTTACCAAAGGGGGGGAACCTGGTGGGAGGAAGGGGGTTAAGGAAAAGTATTTACATTTGTTTTACAATGCCTATAACTTATGTTCATGTAGAAGTGGTAGCTAATATTGTTAGTATCAGGTGACAAAGCTCTCTAACTGAAGATGAAAATTTAGAAATTATCAGTATATAGATTTAAAACTACAGATGGCACATTGTTTATAAGCTGAATGACTATTATCATAAGAAACTTAAATGAGGGGCTAGAGCGATGGCTCATCAGTTAAAAGCACCATCTGCTCTTTCATTCCCAGCACCCACATGGCAGCTCACAACTGTCTTTACCTCCAGTTTCAGGAGATCTGACAGCCTCAAACATACATGCTGGCACATTAATGCACATTAAGTAAGTGAATAAATAAACAAACAAAAAAACCCAGAAATGAATAAATGAAAAAAATTTTTAAAAAGCGGGAAAAAAGAAACTTGAATGAAATAACAAGCATAACTCTCTCAATTTCACATGAGTACATTAAATAAACACAATGGAGGCCATTTAATTAAGAAGAATTCTGAATAATACACCAACAATTTAAGGCTAGAAGGCTGGGCACTGTGACATCCATCTTTAATCCCAGAAGTTAAGAAGGAGGAGGAGACTCTCTGAGAGTTCAAAGACAGCCTGGTCTATCAAGTGTGTTACACAGTAAGAACCTATCTCAAAAAAATAAAACAGTAAAAAAATTTAAGCTAGAGAATTTGAATATGATTAGTGATGCATTAAAAAAAAGGTAAAAAGCAAAGGATTTAATTAAACTATGAAAAGGAGAAAACAGTGGAGTTATGGCTTTATCTAAGATGTATTTCTCGATGCACTAGAAAACACATAAACAGTGTTAGCTACTTTCCAAAATTTCTTAAGGATCTGAAATTTTGTAGACACTCTAAGAGGTAACAAATATCTAAGGATTTTTTTCTCGTAAAATATTACTAATATTTGACAAATACACATTTAAAAATTAAATTGCTTAGAAATGTAATTCCATCATTTATGTCCCTAATCCAAATGGAGACTAAGTATTTCGTTCCACATTTACAAATGCTCCAAATCCCATCTAAAGGAACAGTACAATTCTATACTGCCCTCATCTATTTATCTATTATATTACACTGTCAGGTGTGTAGGGTATTCATGCTTAGGGGGTTTAAAAAATAGCAAATGAACATGTCAAATATTAAACAAACCCCTCAAGTTGGGAAATATCATTTAACAAATATTTCTATTGAACAAGGGGTGCGTCCACCCACTGAGACAGTGGGACTGATCTAATGGGAGCTCACCAAGGCCAGCTGGACTCGGACTGATGGAGCATGTGATCAAAATGGACACTCTGAACGTGGCTGGCAATGAAGGCTGACTGAGAAGCCAAGGACAATGGCATTGGGATTTAATTCTACTGCATGTACTAACTTTGTGGGAGCCTGGTTTGTTTGTTCACCTTTAAAGACTTGTATGGATGGGGGAGGACCTTGGACTTCCCACGGGGCAGGGAACCCTGACTGCTCTTAAGACTAGAGAGGCAGGGGGAGGTGGGGAGGGATAAGTGGGAAGGTGAAGGGAAAAGGGAGGCGGGGAAGAGGTGGAGATTTTTAATAAATAAATAAATAAATAAATAAATAAATAAATAAATAAAAATTAATTCTAAAAAAAAAGTACTCACAAAAATAATTAGGACAAATAAAGATTCCAACCTACAAACATCCAGTGAAACTGGTTCTTAAGGTCATTATTGAAATCTAAATTTCTTTCAGAATGGTGGGTAAGAGCTATGGGCATATGGATACAAAATATTAATGATGCCAACTGTAATAAAGCATGTCTATAGTACTGGTACTAAGAAAGGTAATGCAGGAGGATCAAGTGTGAAGCAAGACTCTATCTCAAATCAGCAATAACCAAGAGAATAAAACACAAGGCATGATGGTGTATGCTAGAAATGACAGCACTTGAGACAGAAGGATTAAGAGTTCAAGCACTAAACTAGCTTTTTGGAGCTCATTCTCTTTGGAGGGATACCTTGCACAGCCTAGATATGGGGTGGGGGAGGTGAGGAGGGCCTTGGTCCTGCCTCAAAGTGGTATGTCAGACTTTTTGACTCACCATAGGAAACATTACCCTCTCTGAGGAGTGGATGGGGGATAGGGTAGGGGAAAGGTGAGGGGAGAGAGTGGAAACTTGGATTGGTATGTAAAATAAGAAAAGATTTGTTTTAAAAAGAAATAAAATAAGAGTTCAAGATCAACATCAGCTATATACTGAGTTTAATGCTAGTCTAGGCTACAGAATACCCTGCACTTAAAAGAGAGAAAAAGGAGGGGAGGAGGGAATGAGGAAGGAAAGTAGGGATGGAGAGAGAAAAAGAGACCAAAAGGAATAAATGAAAGAAGAAATCTCAAATGTACGGGCAGGGCAATATCTAAGATATTATATTTAGATTAGACTTAATTCCTCCTATTATTTAAACTTTCAGTGTACTTGGGTAGAACACATGAAAAAGAAGCATAGGATATTAAAAGCGAAATTTTCAGAACCCGATTATTTCACATATGACTATTATGTTTAATAGAACACAACCTTCTTCTTTTCATAATCAACCTGCTGCTCTGAAAAAAAAGAAAAGAAAAAAAAAAAACTACCCTGGACAAGAGCAAGATGGCTCAGCAGAACAACCTAAGTTCGATCCCCAGAACTCACACAGTAAAAACAGAAAAACAACTACCCTAAATTGTCCTTTGATTTATATGTGTGTTCTGTGGAATGCACAGTATGCACATACACATACTCACAAACATACTGTTAAAATAAAAAAACTGACAAAGGCAATCTAAGGGAAAAACGGTCTATTTGGGGCTACAGTTCCAAAGAGATACATACAAGCCCATTAGCAGGGAAGACATGGCAGCAGACAAGGGAGGCATGGAGGAGAAAACACATTGCATCCACACTCAGTAGGTACACAATGAATATCAAGTGGGGTCAAGATATCAAGCCTCAGGGTCAAGCCCCCAGGGTGCCTTTCTTCAACTTTTGAAGATTCTACAACATCCCCAAATAACATTATCGCAAGCTGAGAAATAAGTATTCAGATACATGAGACTAATAGGATATTTCACATTTAAACATCAATATCCTTAACTTCCATTTCTACACACATCACACTTAGGTAACATGACATTACATTATCAGCAACTTCCTTCTATTCCTTTGTCTAGAGAAACTATGACCTTACATTAATTCACAGAATATAAAACTAGATGAGAATTCTTACAGTTCTGTTTATTTTACCTCTTTTGCAATTTCTAAATCTCTTATGTGACCTTCATGAGATTGACAAGTCACAACTTCACATTCTTTCCTTCCAAAGATGCTACACAGCTGCTTTAGCTGCTTCTATAATGTACCTCTACCTTCATGAACAGTATTCTTTGGACTCAGAGTCATCTGTCACTTCTACTTACTTTTTCTTCTTCCTAGAAAGTTTATTTTATTTTAATTCTGGCAAGGATAACATAGAAATAGTTATGAATATAATATTGTTTTTATGTGGATCAGCAAAAATTGTTTTAGGTACCAAGAAGAAGAGATAGGTGCTAAAATAACTTCAATAGTACCCTTGCTCACCAAATATTTTAAAAAGTGACTGTGGAACTTCTAAGTGCTCTCACCAACACATTCTGAATTTCTGTAGGAAAAACGAATCCACATTTACATAAAATATCATGTATCTGGGCTGGCGAGATGGCTTGCCATTTAAAGGCTAGGTTCACAACTAAAAACATCATGAATCTCAAAGAATTGCTGAGTAAAGGAATACATGAAAATGGCCTTAGAAACCAATCTTAACCAAAAAAAAAAAAAACCCCACAATCATCTTAAAAATGTTCTTTAATTCTTCAACTAAAACAAATTACTCAAACTAATGTCCTCATGGCATAAGTTTACATGATACTATTATACATTGTCCCATAACTTATTTCATTGATGGTTTCTGTGATGGCTGATCTCAAATTACCTAAGAGACAAGCTTCCAATTATGTCTGAGAGAATATAATGACTATGTTAGCCTCTGGAAATGTCTGTAAGGGATTATCTAAATTACAGTAACAAAGGTAAGAAGACCCACCCTGAATGTAGGTGACACCATTTCAGGCACTAGGATCCCAAACTACATGAAAAAGAGAAAGCTAATCTAGCACACTGTACACCTCCCTCTGCTTCCTGATCATGGATGCAATGTGACCATCTATCTTCCTCAAGTTCCTGCCACAGAAACTTCTGATAATAAACTGCATCCCTTCCTTAAGTTACTTTTGCTCAAAATGTTAACTCAAATTAAGAAAAAGATAGGGCAATAAATAATATTAAAAATATAGACTTTAGAGATTCTGTAAAGTATTTTAACTCTTTTGTTTTTCTGCTAAGAATATAAAGACTAATGGTGCTGGGAAAGTTTAATAAGGATTTTGTGTATAGTACCACAGTTTAAGACCAGCTTAAAAAATACTGGTGACTAATTTGAAGAAAAATGGCCTTTCAGTAATATATTTTAAGTAAAACAATGATTTCTTCAGATGACCACATAGCAAATACATTCAATTTTATGACTATCTAGAAAAAAATTAAACTTTATATTTTTACCTGGTCTAGGTACAGGCTGGGCTGCAGGAGTTTGAGTCTTACGGGCAGATGCACCTTCCTTTAAAAGATAAAAATTTATGCATGATATCAAAGTTCATTTACATAACAAACATTTTAAAGAGATCTGCTATTGTTCTCCCATTTTGTCAGTCATTTGGCCAAGGCCTATTAAGTTTAAAAAATAAAATATTTAAGAGGTTAAGACAGGAAGACTGCTGTGTGTAATAGAACAACTAGAGAACAGCTTGTACTACAGTGAGTTCTAGGCCATTCTGAGCTACATGAGACCCTGTGTCAAAAAGATCCCTGACCCTTAAGAAAAAGTACCACTGTCACAGTCAGAATTGCTCTTGAAGCCATGCCTTGTCTTCCATGATGAACTACACCCTAAAATCATGAGGGAAAATAAACAAGTAAGCAAAAGTCCTACTTACTTCACGTTTTTTTTAGCATGTTATACTAATGAAGGTATTTAGTGGAAATTTATATTGATACCAAGTAATATTCTTAATGATTTGCTTAACTGTGAAAAACATTAACATTTTCAGAAACAGTGTTATTTGACTGCTTTTTTTAACTTCTGAAATTTATTTTTAATGAAGTGCTGGGAATCAAGATTAAGGTCACATATACGAGTATGACTTAAACACATTCTAGTCTACCTATTTTAAAGTCTAATCAAGTCTTTTTCCTCTAAAAGTACAAAAATGGATAAACGACACATAATCTTGTTAAAGAGATATAATGACACTTCTTGGTAGATCTTTAAAGCAAGTATAGTTCAAATAATTGTTTGTACAATGAGCAATCCTTGCTTAATGAAGTAATCATTCTCTGGTCAGAAGAAGTAAGCTCCATTCCTTGGTGACAAAAAGGCAAGCATTCTAAACTAGGTCAACAAAAGTCCTTTCCTGGGATTACTTCTCACAAATAAGAGCTAGCTGATAAGAATTCTAACTATAAGGCTGAACTACAAGGTATGCCTAGAATAGTAATACTATATCCTTTGACTCAAGAAGATAACTTACTGGCATAAAAGACAGAAATAAGTATAAATAAAAACCTATGAAAAGAATATAATTCCCATTTTTAATTAGCATTCAAATTCTACTTTTCCTCTAATAATTCTTCATAACATAAATCATTAAATTACCTCATCTCACTCTGCACACTATACACACATCATTTAGCCTCAATTCACTGAATCAGATTTTTGAAAGTTGCAAAAGAAAGATTTATCTATATTGTCTTTTTTCAGCTTATGCAAATTTTAAGTTGTCTAAATCACTATAGTATAGTTTTGGTTAATCTGAATCCAAAAATAGTTATACAGTGTGGTACAACAGTACTTTATGAACAAGACAAAACTAGGAAGATCCTTACTGTGTCATTAATTTACAGCCATTTCCAGGACTCCCTACCAAATGCCCAGTTTAAAAAGCAGGGAACTTAAACACAGGGAACTCCGATGCTCTGAAATTGCTTAAGAGATCTAAGAAACGACATAACACAATTCTACCACTCTCTACTGTGAAGATGAAAAGGTGAAATATTTTCAAAGGTATATACTTGTGTATTTGGCATGAAATAAAAAGAACAGCAATTTGGCAGTGGCAAACTGCTAACTGGAGAGGAAACCTGTTTTCTCTTTGTTTTTTTTCTGGTGTGTGTGTGTGTGGGGGGGAGATCTAGCATTACAGCTGCAGTAAAACATAACATATTTTGGGAAAGTTAAAATGCCTCAATTATATAGAAGAAGAAAAAAGTGACAGAGCTGCATTTCTAAGAAATAACAAAGAAGACAAAGTAAGGTTTGTTGTTTACAAATAACTCTTGCTCATTTTGTTTTACTGAATGAGATAATCTAAGATCTTATGGCACTGGAAAATGAGTATCTGCTACTTAAACAAGTAGGCAAGTATTTCCCAGCTGTGGTAGTACAGATCTGTCATGGTAGTAACTGAAAAAGAAAGGACAGGAAGATGCCGGAAGCTCACTGGCTAGCCAGAAATATTCTAAAATTACAGTAACTACATTCCACAGTGCTTTAGATATCAAAAATCAACACACACAAACACACACATTGTGCTTGTATGTTAACAATAAAAAGGCTAAAAAATAAATTTAAAAAAATTCTACTAATAATACTATTAAAATAATGATGTTTAGGGATGAATTTTAGTCAAGGTAGTATAGCCTTGGGTCAATAAAATTTATAACATATTCCTGAAATGACATAAATAAAAAATATGCCTTCATTTCTGAACTTTTAGAATTACTGTGTTAGGATTTGCATACTACTACCTGAAATCACCTACATATTCAATAATTGCTATTAAACTACAAATTTTGCAGGAATAGAACAACCTATCCTAAAATTCACATAAAATCATAAATAACTTCAAATAACTAATCTTGGAAGAAAGATACAAGTTATAAAACTCAACTTCCAATTTTCAATTCTTACTACAAAGGTATAGTTAATTGAAACAATATACTACTGAGATAAAGACAGATAGTATAGATGAGAGGAGTAGGAAATAAACTCCTCCATTTGACAAGAGTGCCACAATCATTTGAGAAAGGATAGTCTTCAAAGAATGGGTGCTGTAAAAACTGGTATAAGCATGTAAAAGAACGGATACCTTATACCATATACAAAAGCTAATTCACATAAGCTCACAGGACTCTATTTGAAAGTTAAAGGTGTATAATGGAATAAAAGTTTCACAATATTCACTGTGGCATTGATGTGTTGATATGAAAAAAATATGGAGATAATTTCAATGTATAAATGATAAAAAAGATTCCTCAAAATTAAAACACTAAAGGCATAGTAACTCACAGAATGGGAAAAACTTTTTTCCAAGTCATTTATCTGATTAAAAATTAACAAAGAATCCTTTCATCTTATAACAAATGATGAAAAAAAAGAAACAATTCAAAAAAAGGTGTAGAACTTAAAGAGAAAATTCTCTAGAGAATATTTACAAATAATCAATAAGCACCACTAGTCTTTCAAGAAGTGAAGTAGGTACCTTATTTCTCATTAGAATAGTTACTGGCAAAGAATAAAAGAAAAAAAATGACATCAAAAAATACCAAGTATAGGAGCTACAGAAATGGCTCAGTCATTAAGAACACATAGTACTTTTGTGGTGGATTTGAATTCAGTACCTAGCACCCATGTTAGGCAGCTCACAATTCCTAGAATTCTGCTGCCAGGGAAATCTCACACGTCTAAACCCAAACATACACAGACACACACACACAGACACACACACACACACACACACACACACACAGACACAGACACACACACAGTTTCTAAGATAAAACTTAAAAAGATGAGCTCAACACCAGTTAAAAAAACCAGAACTCTCAATGCGAAGTTGGTATGAATGTCAAACAAGTATGACAATGGTTGAAGACATTAAACACAGAATAACCATCTACACCAGTAATTCTAGCCATGGGTACCTACCAAAAAGAACTAAAGATTGGTACTTGAATAGATAGATATGTGTGCATTTATGTTTGTAGCAATAGTATTCAAACAGAAGCCAGAGGGAGAACAACCCAACAGCAACTCTAACATATGAATGGATAAGCAAAATATGAGGTACACAATTTCTTTTACTCAACTGTAATAAAGAAAATAAGACTCAAACATAATATAATGCTGATGAGCACTGAAAATATAATGCTAAATAAATTAAGTAAAACACAGAAAAACAAATATTTAATGGTTTCACATATATGAGGTACCCAGATGACTCAAGTTTGGAGACAAAAGGCAGATTAGTCATTACTAGGATCTGAGTGCAAGAAGGAATGGCAGACTTATTGGGCAATATGTGTACAATTTTCTTTTTCTGAAAGGAAAAATTCAAGATTATTAGTGACAGTTGCACATTTTAAATGTAGAGATAGTACCACTGACTTGTAAACTTAGAAATGGATAAAACAGTATATGTTATGCATATTTTATGATTAAAAGAAAGAATAAACATAAAATGTGTTTAAGTTACTAAGAACAAAATGACAGTAGACTTGGGAAAAGTCAGGGAGACAACGGATAAACAATATTGAGGGCTGTAGTCACAAAGGAGACCAAAGGAAAGCTGAATAATCAAGAAAAATACAGTAAGTCAACCAGCAAAAATGAGATATGTCCACTCAGCTTGGGGTGTGGGAGAAGATAAGATTCTTCTACACACTAGCCAGGTGGCTCTGCTTAAAGAAACCAAAAGTCAGTTCTATGCCTGGAACATTAGGCTTGGTGTGAAAGTGATGCCTGGTGACCAGTGAGAAAGAACTTTACTCTGACACTCTCCATACCTCAGAGAGTCATGACCTCTCTTCAAAGGGTAATATCTGAGAAAATGCTCCTCTTGGAGTAACAAATACAAATTGAGGAGCCTGGGCATACACAACTACAGTCCCTGAGGAAATTACATTCTAACACACTGAAAACATAGGGTGGCAGGAGGTTCACATGGCAAAGAACTTGGAGGTACACAATGGCCTTGATTTCTCTGGCAAGAGGTAAAATAACAATTGAGACTGAGAGCCCTGCACCACAAGTCAGGAGGCAGTTCAGGGTGACAATAAACATTCTCAGGACTGAAAGTTCAAGAAGGCTGGTTCATGGGACATTCCCCAGTGCCTCACTCCTCCCAAACAGTATTTACAAATTAGAAAGCAATGACCGCGGGCCGGGGCAGGCGGTGAGTGCAAAGGGACGGGAGTCCCTTTGTTCTAATGGCCGGCCTGCAGCAAGCTAAGACCGCAGGCAGGAAGTCTTCTGACCAGCAAGGGGCTCTGATCCTGTGGAAGGGTAAGTGTGTTGACCACCATACTAGTCCGGTTAAGTACACACAATATTCCCGCCAGCCTTATCTCCCTGGCTACTCCAAAGGGGCAGCTTCCCCCAGCTAATCCCTCTCTCCTGCTACGCCATCCCAGCTTTCGGCCTCGAACCCCTCCCCTCCTCTCTCCCTTTTTCGGGGCTTAAAGGCCTCCATCTCAGCCTGGGTGGGCACCGCGGGCAGGGGC